AAGCGTTTACCCCGCCATCAGGCTACCAGTCGCCCAACACTGGCCGGATGTCTCCTACCGGCGGACTTCCGACACCGCAGGCGGCCTTTGCCCAGCAATCAACATACGGTGACCGGTCGCGTAGTCCCCTGTACAACATGGACAACGGCAGCGACTCGGCGCTCGTGCGCAACGCCGCAGGGATGCCAATGGCCCCGCCCTCGGGCCCGACTGTAGGTGCCCTGGGCGGCGGGCCGAGGGGATACAGCGGGCTCCGTCAGGACGACGCCGAGACGCCTGAGCAGGACCCGTCGTCCTACGACTACTTCCGCGGATCAAGGCGGCGGAACGACAACAACGGGTGGTAAACCCGCACGACGAAGAATTAATGGGTTTTCTCTATGTGTGTGTGTTTTGTGAGCGAAATAATTTAGAGCAAAGGGTCGCCTCGCGGTCCGGGACCTGGTCTCCAATGAGAGGGCATTGCATTCGGCGTTGTAAATATGTGAACGAGGGCTAACAACCTTTGGAGAAGAAGGTTGGGCCTTGGAAATGAATGGTGGGAAAGGGCTTTGGAGATGATGGCCGGGTTTGCTTGTCGACCCGGCCGTGTGTTTCGCGTTCATTGAAAAAAATCATAATGACCAAAGATACGAGATATAGACTGAAACTGCATGGGGCTTGCGGTGCTCCCAGGTCCTCGGCGACGGTGCTGGGGATTTAGATTATAGGTTTAATGAGAATCTTGACCACCATCTTCACTACGATTTGAGCTGCATGCAAATTGTTGGTGTTTGGAGCTATCGATTTAAGGCTTGTCATATTGAGCAATAAGCTACAGCGTCCTTAGTAAGCTTAGGAGAAAATCATTGAGCGCTGAATCCAGTTCAGATCATGCAAATACTTGATCTTCTCTTGCACAGAAACACAACTTACAAAGGCTGCCATCATTGGAAGAAAGCTCTACGAAGACATCACAATCGTAAGCCAATTGATCTCGGCAGTGGTCGTCGTCACAGCTCCAGCGTCCCGCCCTGCACTCCACCACCACCCCCTTGGATTCAGGGGCTGGACCGAGCTTAGTCATCCGAACCACTCAAGGTTGGCATTCCACCAACGCCAAAGGACAGCATCGCTGGAAAGCTCCCTCCTGACGCCTCCCGAAAATCACCACCACCACACCGCGCCAGCCAACTTGACCACGCTCCTTTCTCCTCGCGCCTTCGATTCAACGCGGCTTTTGCTTCACCTGTGCCCGTGGGCTTTTTTCTGCATCCCGAGTCTCCCTCCCGATACCGCAAAAATGGCGGCCAACAAGTACTCCGTCATCCTCCCGACCTACAACGAGCGTCACAACCTGCCCATCGTCGCTTGGTTGTTGAACCGCACCTTCACCGAGAAGTAAGCAGCCAACCTCCCTCATACCTGTCCCTCCCATTCCCCCATTGGCAAGACGGACCGAAACGAAGCAAGACAACGCCCGCTAACCATCAACCCCCGCGAAACAGCAAGCTCGACTGGGAACTCATCATCGTCGACGACGGCTCCCCAGACGGCACCCAGACCGTCGCCGAGCAGCTCGTCAAGGCCTACGCCCCGCACGTCGTCCTCAAGACCCGCTCCGGCAAGCTCGGCCTCGGCACGGCCTACGTGCACGGCCTGCAGTTCGCGACGGGCAACTTCGTCATCATCATGGACGCCGACTTCTCGCACCACCCCAAGTTCATCCCGCAGATGGTCGCGCGCCAGAAGGAGGGCAACTACGACATCGTCACGGGCACGCGCTACGCCGGGGATGGCGGCGTCTACGGATGGGACCTGAAGCGCAAGTTCGTCTCGCGCGGGGCGAACCTGTTTGCCGACACGGTGCTGCGCCCTGGGGTCAGCGATTTGACCGGCAGCTTTAGGCTGTACAAGAGAGCCGTGCTGGAGAAGGTGATTGGCAGCACGGAGAGCAAGGGGTACACGTTCCAGATGGAGATGATGGTGCGCGCCAAGGCGATGGGGTGCTCGGTGGCGGAGGTGCCGATTACGTTTGTCGACCGGATTTATGGCGACAGCAAGCTGGGCGGGGATGAGATTGTGGAGTATGCGAAGGGCGTGCTCTCGCTTTGGCTCAAGGTTTGAGGCGGGAGGAAGAAGAAAGGGGGAGGATATGATACCGAGGTGTTTTGATGTGTGCGGATATTTGGAACGCATGCCATGGGCGTTGGGGGGAACGGGAAATCACAGAAGAGTACCGATACCTAATTATTTGCAGGACGATGGAAAAATTACACAGTTTTGTTCAGTCTGCTTATTCGTGCTTCACATGTTGCGCCCGCCGGTCACCATGATGGTCTGCCCCGTCACATAACTAAACAGCGGACTCGCCACGGCCAACACCGCGGACGCAGCCTCCGTCGGCGAGCCGGGCCTGCGCAACGGGATATCCGCGTGAGCCTGCTGCTCCCCGCCGCCCGCCGCCGCCTTCTGCGCCTGCGGGATGCCCAGCGCAATCTTCTCACCCCCCGGCCCGACGATGAACGCGCCCTTCTCCTTGGCGTCCGTCAGCCGCGTCTTGATGTGCCCGAACGCCACGGTGTTGCTGCGCACGCCGAACGCGGGGCCCCACTCCTTCGCGATCGTCTTGGTCAGCCCCGTCACGCCGGCCTTGGCCATGGCGTAGTTGGCCTGGCCGGCGTTGCCGTGCACGCCCGAGGTCGAGCTGATGTTGACGACGCAGCGGTTCTCGCCATCTTTCACGCGGAAGTACGGTGCGGCGGCCCTGACTAAACGGAACGGCGCGGTCGAGTGCAGCGCGAGGATGGTGTCCCACTGCGCGTCGGACATTTTGTGGATGACGCCGTCCCAGGTGTAGCCGGCGTTGTTGACGATGTGGTGGATCTTGCCGTTGCCGAAGGAGGCCGCCTGCGAGACGAGGGTGGCGATGTAGTCGGCGGAGAGCATGTCGCCTGGCACGGCGAGGGCGCGGCCGCCGCCGTGGGTGGAGTTGATGGTGTCTGCGACGGAGCGGGCTTTGGCGCCGTCGATGTCGGAAATGATTACCTTGGCGCCCTCGTTGGCGAAGAGCCGGGCTGTTTCGGCGCCGATGCCCTGCCCTGAGCCGGTGATAATGGCGACTTGGCCGGCGAGGAGGCCTTTGGGGTAGTTTAGGTGGGAGGCGATTTGAGAGATGCGGTCTGTCATTTCGGCGTTGTTTATTGTGGTTTGTGGTTTGAGAGGGGTGGTGGTGAAAGGCTTGGTGTTGTATATGAAGATGAGCTCACTCAGCGTTGCAGTTGGAGCTCTGAGGTGCAAGCTCACCCTGGCCTGCCGAGGTTCCCCGCGGCTTCACCCTCCCGCCCCCGGGAGGAGGGTGCGGTGGTGGAGGAGGGGTGTCGGCATTGGGTAACCAGATCGCCGGGCCTAGGTTCGAGGCTGTGAATGCTTCATACCATGTCAATTGAAGGCGGGAAAAGCTTTGGCAAACTTCCTCGGGATTGAATGACGATTATTGCTCCCACCCAAAGTGGGAAAGAGTACCCCGGATTTCGCAATTGACTCGGAAGCTGCTCTGGCCCGCTCTTGGCACCCATCGGCGATTAGATAAGATAAGCAGGTGGGATGGTACCTCTCGTCTCTTGTTTTGACGACATGTCACTCCCTGCCGCCAAATACACCCCGCCATCCCGGCACAGCAACCCCCTCTGAACGCAAACCAAGATGTCGACCCGCGGCGGACGAGGTGCACGAGGCGGCCGGGGCTTCAGCAGAGGGCCCGCAGGCGGTGCCGGACGCGGCAATCGCGCACCTTCAGGGCCTTGGGGGAGGTTGAAGCCCGTCGACCTGGATCCGCTCGACAGCATCGGGTTGCCGTCTAAGGGTGACACCCGGTACGTCTGCCACTTTCCTCGCCAGAACTCCAATGGCTTGCTGACAGCATGCAATGCAACAGACTGCTCGATTTCAAGACCCAGGAACGGTACTACACCAAGATCGTCGAGCGGTACATGACATTCTGCTCCGACGCAGGCGAGCGCGACGAGCTCCTCCGCCGCTTCGCCTCCCTCGACATCAAAGACACCATCTCCCCGCCCTCGCCGCGCCTCCTCCCGCCCGACGACCCCGCCAACACGAAAGCCCTCTCCGACGTGATGATGGCGCTGCGCAAGCTGCGCGAGGGCATCGTCGCCTCCAAGCGCATCGACGAGTTCGCCATCCAGGCGTACCTCTTCAACATCCGCCTGTCCGTGCTCGTCAAGCACCCGGAGTCGTACCACCCGGCCATCCTGCACGTCCTGCGCGTCATCCACCCCGCGCAGAACCTCACCAGCGTCGAGCTGCAGGAGGTCCTCGGCTACCTCGTCCTCGACGCCGCGTGTCGGCGGGGAGACCTCGCGGAGGCGTACGCGATCCGGCAGCGGTACAGGCTGAAGGACGCCAAGGTGGACGCGGTGCTGGCGGCGCTGGCGCATGATAACTTTGTGGCGTTCCGGAGGGTGCAGAGGAGCGTGGACGGGCACCGGGCGAAGCTATTGGAGTTTGCGGACGGGGAGATGCGGACGCATGTGTTGAAGTGCTTTGGGAGGACGTATTTGGGCGTGGATTTGGAGTGGTTGGAGAGGTGTGCGGGGGAGAAGTGGGATGTGTTGACGGGGCAGCGCGAGGTCGGGTGGGAGCTTGACGGGAAGAGGGTCGTTATTCGAAAGGTTAGGGCGAAGTGAGGCTTTTGGTGCATTTGATACCCCCAATGAATTCAACAGCGTTTGTCTAAGAAGGTGGCGTGAGCACTTTTCTGGTCTTGAAATTATCTGTCTCTCCTGATTTTGAGGCGTGATTGATCTACTTTACATGATGTCCATCCCATAGCCGCAATCAGGCCAGTGTGAAGATTACTCCAAGCCCATCATTAAAAGCCATTCCATCTCCCCTTCTGTCAGGCTCCTTTCAGCATTGTCTTCGTCGTTGTTCCCGCAGTCATCTCGGTTGTCATAGTGATAGGCCAGAAGGTCTCAATTCGCCTGTTAGGAATCCGAATCCTATCGGTACGGTTCCTTTCTGATGATTCCAGTGATGAGGCACAGAGCCTTGTGTGACAGCGGGACTCCTTGTTCCGATATCCATTCAATTCGTCCAAGAATAGAGCGCCGGTCCCTTTCCGTTTCTCCCCATAGAGGATAGCTGACATCTGTCAAGCTCTGGAACGCTTGCGCGCCGATTGTGACCCCATCGGAAACCACAGCGGAAACCACATCGTCTCCCGGAGGTGCAGTATCCTCGGATAGAAGCTCCATGAAATCGATAGGGCCTATGGAATGGATCAATTCGTCGAGAGCCCTAGCGGGGATACAGTAATTCAACAGAATGGACCAGAAGAGGTCCATCTTCTCCCGCTTCAACTTCCGATGGTGATTCTCGTCGTACTTGGCAATAGAACCAAGAATGAACCTCTCCAGCCATCCATTGTAAGCATATGGAAAGTCGTATCCCGGCAGCCAGTCGGTGCACAGGTTGATCGTCATAGACATTTCACCCGGTTGCACCATGTCGTTGCGTCGTTGTGTCCACAGAGATACGCCGCTGTCCAAGAGCGCCTGCATGATCTGGTCCAAGTGATTTCTTGCCCACTTTCGTGAATAATTTAAGAATAAAACCCATTCTGCGGCGTTTCCAAATTTGTCGAGAGCTACATTAGGGTTTGCGCCGAAAGACAAAACACACTGTACCATTTCGACACTTTCGGTCTTCAGGGCGTAGTGCAGAACAGTAGCTCCCAGTCTGTCCTTCTGGTTGATGTCGATGTTGTGATTCAATACGAGACGGCGAAGAATCGCCTCATTCCCGCTCGCAGCTGCAGTGTGAATGGCGTGGCCAATTTCGCCTACATCATAATCCCAGTCATCATCCCTGATTTCAGAGTTGGACTCATCCGAAATATCGGTGTCAGAACCATCCAAGATACCAGCGTCAGATTAACTGTCTTCCTGGTCGGTTTCTGAGTCCGTATCCTTGGCCTGCACCCTTTCAAGCAGACCAAGACTGTGGATCAGAGGGCCTAGTCGCTTCCTAATGGTGGCTGCTTCCTGGTTATCGACGGGTCCGACACCAAAGAGTGGTGCGATGCCGTTTCCGCGGGGGATCTGACTCCGGACGGGGTATCTCGTATTGGTCAACGAAGCGCCGTAGCTGATGAGCAGACGCGCGATGGATGTCTTCCTGCGACACAGGGCGAAGTGAAGCGGGGTCCAGACCCCAGTATAACAACCCGCCTCAACCCAGGGTATACCAACCGGCGACCTAGGAGGTGACCGCCAGTCTTCAAGGATTTCGTTGGCGATATGGCATTTGCAGAAAAACTTGCCTGGAACGTCGACGTCAACATGGAGAGTCATGAGGTACTTGACAACATGGTAGTGGCCCTCGCAGACGGCCATGGCCAAAGGTGTCGCCCAGGCAAAACCAAATTCATCGCTGGCATTCTCCGACATCTCCCAACGATATGTGACATCGTTCCCATGTGCATCCTTCGTATGTGCCCAGGAAGGAAATGGCACCCAGGTAACGGCATTAAGGTCGGCGCCGTACTCGTGAGCCTTCATCAGAGTCTCAATGTTGCCATCTCGGGCGGCAAAAGTGGTGATTTCTTGGGCGTTCTTCTTAATAGCATCATCGTAGAGCATAGGATTGCAAGTTGCATGGAGGCTCTTGTTTGTGCGGGAAAGTCCAGCAAGTGCAGTCCGGCGAAAGTCATCACCAACCCCTGCGACGATGAGGAGTAGGAGCTCTGTTGGTAGAGACTGGAGCTTGGGGGGCGTCAGGCTGTGGAGGTTCGGGGGCGTCATTGTGCAAGATGTCCTCAAGCAGATAATCCCAGTCCTGAAAAAGTCAGCTGGTGTGAAGCTTTTGTGGCGGAGATAAAGGCAATGATGAAGCAGAGAGTGAAGGCAAGTAGCGTACCTTGTTTGTTCTCGGCGTTGACAAGCTGTGGTTCTTGTGAACCGAAGGGGCTTCTGGTATTCCGTATCTGAAGAGGTTTTGCTAGCTCAGTTGGTTTTCCAGAACGACTTTTCCTGGATAATCGCTTTCGCCGCCGTCCTTCGTTGTCGTTGTTGCTGCTACTGTCTTCGTCTTGGTTTCTGTCTCTGTCCCTAATATATAACTGAGACTGCTCCGCTGGGAAAACTCATCCGAAACAGAGAACTGTGATGGTTTGTCGATCGTGTGAAAGTCAGGTTGAAGAGGTGAGCTGGAGAGGTAAGGTGAGTTCTGAACGACGCGAGATGCCAGGAGAAAGAGCAGGAGCAAGTGGGGCGCGGGCCACCAGGCACCTACCTAGGTACACTGTGTAGTCTCATCACCAACCTCCTCTCTGAAAAAGAGGGAAGCAACGACAGATGTTCACCAAAGATTGACATGCCTTAGTGAAGGCTGGAAATGAGCTGCAGCTTTGGGGACTCTTTTGTTTTTCTTAACCCGCAGGATTTCGTACGTTTGATAGCGTCAATGTTTTGAGTGTTCTGTAAACATTACCTCTGCCTAACTCTCCTGATTCTGTTTGCTTGATGATCTATTCTACAAGTGCAGATGCCCCTTTGCCTTGTCCAAGTTTCAATCTCCTAGTCTTCGACTGCTTTCCCAAGGTATCTTTTCCAGAACCCAGGAGCGTTGGTATTTTGGCGTGTAACTCGAAACGTCCGGGCGACGGCGACAAGGACAAAAAGGACGACAGAGACGAGAGAGACGAAGATGAAATTAAAGTATCGCTGACGTTCGCACATCCCGCTCAAGTCGCTCGCTTCCATACGCGTATCATATCTTCGCTGCGTGCGCTCACCTGAAGCCTGAGCGCTCTCCACAACACCTGTTTGTATGACTCGTTCGGCGACACTTCTCCCTGGTTATGTCATTGAGATATCGCAGCATCTCCAGTGTTGTGGTAGCGCTTTGCGTCATCAGCCATCCAACCTTTGCGAAAGTCAACGTTAACCTTCTGCACCCCATGTCTTCGGGGCGACTCTGCCTCTTTTCAAGCGTCTGGAAGCAAACTGTCCCCAAGGATAAGTGATCATCTCCAGAGGTGCGATGATGATCCGATATGCTATCGTCTACTGTGGCGGACAAGTCGATCGGACCTGCCACGTTGACGATGGTGTCGAGAAGTTCGATAGTGTTGTCAAAGTTTTCGCAAATCAAAATCTGGAAGAAGAGCTCCATGACCGATGATTTCAGATCCCAACATAACGCGGAGTCGTACTCCGTCGTTGCACCCTGTAAGAATCTCTTGAAACAGCTGTCATAGACATGCTTTCGGCTGCTACGTGGGGCAATGTCAGCCTGGGCTTGGTACAGCGCTAGGCACTTATGAATCCCCACGTTGTCTCCCGCCCAGCAGGAGACGCCGTGGTCAAGAAGCGCTGCGAGAGCTTGAGAAATGAATTCGGCCCTTGTGAGCCGGTTGCCGGCGCGCTTAAAAGTCCAAAGAGGTACGGAACCTCTCTCGTTTATAAACACTAAGGACCTATCGTAGGACACAAGCCAAGCTGCGGCACTGTCGACTACAGGATGGCAGGCGATGTCGAGATATGTGTTGGGGTCTGCACCAAGAGACAACACGTAGCGCACAGTCTTGATACTATTCGCTGCCAGACTGTAGTGGAGAGCAGTAGCACTGCCACCATCCTTGGTGTTGATGTCGAAGCCACAGTCGACAACGAGGTGACGAATCATTGGTAGGTCGTTGACAGCCACGGCCGTGTGAAGAGCCGCGACGCTGTCTGCGAGGGCCTCCCTCCCGCCGTAGCCATCACGAAAGACCGCTTCTTCATGATCATTGAACAATGGCCCTGATGTTCCAACACTGCAGATGAGTGTACCGAGACGGTCGCGGATCGATGCCGATTTCTCGGGTTTGGTGAGATCGAGACCGAAGAGCGAAGCGATGCCGTTGTCCCGTGGAATCTGGTCGCGTAAAGGATAGCGCGTGATGTCCAATGATGCTCCTTGAGAAATAAGCAAGCGAGAAACGGAGCATTTCCTGCGGCAGATGGCATAATGAAGCGGGGTCCAAAGTCCTGACGCGATGACCATTCCATCCCATAGTTCTGGGGACCAATCTGGTTCCAACTCGGCCACAATTTCGCCCATGGATAGGCAGCCGCAGAGAAGCTTGCCCGGAACGTCGACATCAACTCCAATAGAAAAGAGGTATTTGACAACGTCGTAGTGGCCTTGGCACACAGCCATGTGAAGGGGCGTTGCCCAGCAGATGCCCCAGCTTGTGTCTGTGCATTCCTCCTCATTTCGTAAGTCCATGCCAAAGTCGCCGCCGGGGGACCAATTGGGAATTGGAACCCAGGTGGCAGAGTTCAGATCTGCTCCATACTCGACGGCTTTCTTCAAAGTATCCAGATTACCATCTCCAGCGGCCAGAGTAGTGATGGCGTTCATTTTGTGAAGAATTCTTTTGTGAATTTTTATATGACCAGGGATACATAAGAGGTCCCCCTTACTCTAACTACCCCCTATATATTGTTACGGTCAGCTATCCGACAGTAGGGTCTGCTAACAGAAGCTGGAGATTGATACGTTCTAACAGTACACTGGGTCGTGGTCGTAGGTTGTAGTTCGTAGGCTGTAGTAGATCGGTTCTTCAGAGGCTAAGGTGATCAGTCTTAGACTCAATAAGTGATTCGCAGTGAAGGTAAGCTGAGAGTATCTGTGAGGATGAATACTAAGTTGATTGCTGAAGAGCTATAGAAGTCTGACCATAAGCCAGGCTCAGGGTCATACTATATATAAGTCTAATTCTGAATATGTTCCTTTATACCTTAGGTCGATCTGGATCATTCCGATCCAGAATGATCGTTTAGCCCCTAAGTCGTGTTGGATCATATTGATCCAATATGATCGTTATCTTATCATCACGTGACTTGGACCATAGTTCTTCCGTTACCGAGTGAGTTCCTGTTGTTCCCGTGATCCTGCAGTACAAATGTCCTGTCCTAGCCGCCCGACGCCCAAGTGGGTCGGTCAACTGTTATCCATGCATAACGGGTCGTAACAGTGTGCCTCTAGGCGGCAAACTGCGAAGAAAAGAGTTAGAAGGGAAGAAAGGTGGTGATGGCGTTATTCTCGGTTTCAATCGCAGCTCGGTGTTACAGTCAGCTATCCAACAGTAGGGTCTGCTAACAGAAGCTGGAGATTAATACGTTCTAATAGTACACTAGGTTGTGGTTGTAGGTTATAGGTTATAAGCTGTAGTAGATTAGGTTTTTAGAGACTAAAGTAATTAGTCTTAAGCTTCGCAAAAAGGTCGAGAAGCAGTTGTCTGGCTAGCTAGGCATGTCCGACGACGTGATGAAGTGAGAAAAAGGTCCAAGGACGACGACAGCCGAGGACGATGGACGACGGTAAGGATAATGGAGAAGGGCAAGAACGATGGAGAAGGGTAAGGACGACAGAAACACCAACACCATCATTCTCATTTATTTGCCAGTTCATTCAGTACATCTAATCAGTAAATATGATCAGCCATGGTATTCTTTTGTACAGCCAACTCGCCCTAGGTACCATCCCTGCCATTCCATGACTTTTATTTCCACATCTCACGAACTGTCGCCTGTTGCGTCGCCACGTCCAAGTCAATCATGGCCTTCCAAATTGCGGACACCCTACTGGGCAAAACCACCTTTCTCATCGCCTGTGCACTATTTCTATTCAAGTGCTCAACCTTCCGTACGATTTCATCCCACGTTCTCAAAGCGTGCTGGGTCTCACTGTCGCCAATCTCCCATGCCCCATGCTCTCCAAGGATTCTCATCATATCGGCGACACGCTGCCCGGAAGAACGACGCAAGAAATCTCGCAGTTCACAAACGTTGAGACGAGCAAGGAAGCAAGGCAGTGCAGAAAACTTAGCCGGATGATGAAATTTGTCGACGGGATCTGCCCCATGCTTCAGGAGCCAGGCCGCCTTGTCTCTTACTGCGACCTCCGATTCAACTTGCTCATGCGGCCTGACTTTGTAGTTTTTCAATAGCATGTGAAGTGCCGCGGTGCCCAGTTGGCCCTCATAATTCGTCTTAACCCTCTTCAGCGGTAACTCGCCATCCATCAGCTCAGTCAGGTCGAAGGAGTCGTAAGATTGCAAGCTCATTTCGAGAGCAGCCGTGCCGCAACCGCTGTCATCGATGATACGCCAGAAAAACGCTACCACCTCCTTCTTGAGATCGTTGAAATCCTCGGTGGGTTGGTAGGTGGCGATCGCTCCTTGCAAGAGCAGGGAAACCCAGCCGCGTTTCGCGCAATCTTCGAATGGGTTGATCATATGCCTAGCTATGATGTTGATGGTCATAGACTTGGGGCGAATGGATTCATGTTCGACACCTTCACCTTCTGCGTCTTTGTCCTCTCTGTCGAGATCAACAACTGCCTCATACCACGGATCAGGCTGTTGCCAGAACACGGAATCGCCTCCATGTTCGGCGAGCATGACGATAACGGCATCAAGGTAGTCGGGATTGCTGTCATGGTAAAACCGAGCCACCCACTGACAAATGCCCTCCACGCGGTACTTGATATGCATTTTATCCACGATGCAAGCTGATGCAGAGGGACGTGCATGGAGTGAAAGAGCGCATCGGACCATTTCCAAGTTCCTGCTTTCCACGGCGTGATACAAAATGTTCGCCCCACATCCATCTGCGGTGTCAACGCTGATCCCAAGATCAACCAAGTGTCGGAGAATCTCGGGCTCATCCGACAAGGCAGCGCAGTGGATCGCCGACATGTTGTATTGTAGACATCGTCGCAGATATTGCTCGCTGAGGGGGCCATCCTCTTC